AAGAAAACTGAACTGAAGAAAATGATGTTTTGCTCAAGAAGACTGCTGGGCCTGGATGACCTCAGAATGACATGGATTTGGAGCTCACAAGAAAAACTTAATTACATTTCTTTTTTGTTGTCCAGTAGTTTGTTTTGTGTACATATATACATATATTTTTTGCACTACAGAATGATAACGTTTTAAGGACTAATATTTCTGATACTTGAATAATCAATCTCAACTAAATTATAAGTAGCATACATAGATTTACCCTACCTTTGAACTTAAAGGATATTGAATTATTAATTATTGTTTGGTAACATGTTTACCTGATTATCTCCCATAGAGAATTGCAAGCTGCTTTTCCGAGGTACAGTTGTGATAATGAGATCAGATTTGTAAGTGACTATTTTTTATTTTGTAAATTAAATATGAGAAAGAATACAAACCAAGAGTGAATTTCAAGCTGGGCGTGGTGGCATGTGCCTGTAATCTCAGCACTTGGGAAGCTGAGGCAGGAGGATTGCTATAAGTTTGAGGCCAGCCGGGGCTAGATAGTGAATTTATGGGCAGCCTGAACTGTGCAGTAAGACTCTGTCTCTAAAAACTAAAACCAAAACAAAGAGTGAGTTTCAGATGAGGGTATATTGATTTTATATCAGTCACTGAATTGTGTCAAGCAGTAGAAAATTGCTGGAAAATACCTGCATTCACATTGAAGTCTGCATATAATCTTATTTGGCCATTCACAAATCAATTCAGGCCTCATTATTTAACTTTCCAGTCCTTTGTACTGGCCTTTGTTTTTAAAATGATTCACAGAATAGACATAACCTGCTCATGGTAATGGTGAAAAATGGGCTTGACATAGTTTTAAAAGTGTATTCTAAAGCTTCAGATGACTAATACGATTTTAAATCAATCATATAGATTTATTCCTTCATCATGATTTTTGCTTTAACTGACAATATCTAGTGTCTGCTTCATAGGGTGCTTTGAAATGTAAATGAAAACATTTATACAGTTTTTACAAAACTTTAAAAAAGGAAACATGAAAATCACTTTTCTGCAACTGATAAACAATATAGACTGGACTCTTAACCTCTTAGTGCCTCTCTTTTTTTCTTTGGGGATAATATTGGCTGTACCTACTTACAGAGGTATTGGAAGGATTTACAAGCTAACTGGCCATTGGCTTCCATATGAATAATGTATGCCCAACTCATGGAAATTTTAAGTCCCTGCATCTCACCTCTCACCTCAATAAAAACAAAAACTGTTGTTTAGATCCTTGATGACTTTACCTAAAGAGTAATTCTTTCTGTATACTTCCCAAAGCTTCTTGCTCACTTAAGCATACTTTGTGCTTTAAAGTAGTCCAAGCACTTGGGAGGCTGAGGCAGGAGGATCACTGTGAGTTCAAGACTAGCCTGGATTGCATAGTGAGACCCTCTATCAAGGAAACAAACCAACCAACCGAAAAAGTTTGTAGCAAATAAGTTTTAAGAATTTTAGGTATTATAATGTTGGGTTTAGCTTTATGCGTTCAGAGTGTTAAGAGGTCAGAATTAATTCAGGTCTAGTATAAAGGGTTTCTTTGTTTGCCTACAAAAAAAAAAAAAAATGTGAGAACACAATTTGCTATCCCTAAACTCTTTTATGAAACTTGTTTATTTTTTATGCCCATCTTGATTAAAATGTGTTTATCTGAAAGGATCTACTAATATTTGTTTTTTTAAGAAACTGCCCTCTACTGATTTAGGAAAAAAAAAAAAATGAAGCAAGTAACTAAATTATATGTAGAAATAAAGTTTAAACTTGTGGATAGGGATTGTCTTCAAAAACTAGATAGCAATTTGGTATCAGAATGGTGGATCTTCTCTTAATATTTAAATAAATTGCTGATTAAGACTGTAAAGAGTTGTGATTACTTACATGCAGGCAGGGGTAGCTAACGCCTAGGGATAACCGTTTTTATCTTATTCCAAAGTCTTATTTTATAGTTTGAAAAGCACTTTGCACACAATTCTTGTATATAAAAGTAAAAAGATGTAATTATAGGGTATAGTGTTCTGCTTTGTTTAACAAGAACCTCATTTTGAATTGACAGTTATGATATTTTTTTAATGATCAAATTCTTTTGTTTCTTTATTGTAAAACTGGTATAAATAAAAGGTTAATGAGAAATGGTATGGGTTTTATTACTTGTTACTGTTTATCAATTATGTACCAAGGAAGAAATGAGAATAGCAGGAATTAATATAAACTGATCTGGACTCTTAAATAAAACCATGCTGTTTGATTTAATTTGATAAAATCAGAAAGTTGGATGAAATTTAACTCAATTATCTGTTGAGAATATTAGTTATCTAATCAAATCTTTAATTTTTATACCAAATAAATAGGTTGTTATGGTCTCTCAGGTATCCCTTGAACATTCGTGAATAAATACCATTGGTCTTAGGTGGAGTTGATGAGTTTTCTGTTTTAATACATAAGTAACTTTGAGGTTCTACAGGTACTGGTAAAATAGCTATTTGTAACATGTGAGATATCTGTGTTCTGCTATATGTATGAGAAATCCAAGTGCAGTGGCTAGGCTAAACAAATTTTTTCTCATGTGCAGGAAGTCTTGGGCTGGTGAGGTCTTTTACCATGTGCTTCGGAATTTAGGCTCTATTTGTCTTCTGTTTTACCACACTTATGTGCATAGCTTTTTTCCTCTTGCCTGCAGGGTGGCTGCTGGAAATCTATGTCTACAGTACAGGAATGGCGGAAGGCAATTCCCAGTGGTGTTTTTCTGTCTAATCCAGGAAACCTTCAACTTTGAGAGTCTCACTTAGGAGATTCCTTTTCACATCTCATTGACTAGAAGTAGTCTTATCTTTGTCTATAAAAATAGTCAAAAGGTTGGACATGGTGGTATACACAATCCCAGAACTGGGTTTATCCCAGATAAACCAGTACAGGAAGATCACAGGTATAAGCCCGGCCTGGAGAATTTAGTGATTGAAACCCTCCCTGCTTCAAAATAGGACAATAAAAAAGCCCAGGGGGTACCTCAGTGCATAGGCTCTGCATTCAATCATGACATATATATATATTATATATATATAATTTATTTTTTTTGAAAATTTTAAATATTAACTTGTATTTTCAAAGAACTGATGGAATTAATAGTACAGTCATCTTACCAGACAAGCATACAAATAATTATAAAAATTGTAACTCTGTTTACTTACAAATGAAAGCACATGTGATATATAAAATTTAAAGACTAAAATCATATATAAAATCATATATATATATTCTTTTCTTTGAGACGGAGTCCCACTGTGTAATGCACACTGGCTTTGAACTTACTCTGTAGCCCAGGCTAGCCTCAAATTTATGGCAATCCTCTTGCTTCAGCTTCCTGAGTACTGGGATTACAGATATGTGTCACTCTACCTAGGTCCCATTTCTTCTTTTTTTTTTTTTGCATTTTAGTGCAGGGTCTATTGAACTCCTAGTGATTCGCCTGTGTTCAGCCTCCCAAGAGCTGGGATTACAGGCACATGTGGGCAGGGCTAGCATGGTACGCTGGTGATTGAACCCCGGTTGCTGTGTCTGCCTAAGCAGATGCTTTAATCCGCTGAGCTATTTGGCCAGCCTTCCATTTCTTTTTAGTACTAAATAAAATTTTGTTGTAAGGATGCATCACAGTTAATCCTTTCCTTTCTGGAAGGACATCTTGATTGGTTTCAAGTTTTATCAATTATGAATAAAGCTTAGTAGCTATCTGTGTGCAGATTATTGTGTGGGTTTGTTTTCAACTCAGTAGGGTAAATACCAAGGAATATGATGGCTCAGTTCTGTAGTAAAATTGTTTAGTTTTGCCAGAAATTGCCAGATATTGTCACAGCATCTACCATTTTTTATCCCTACTAGCAATGAATGGAGCGCAAATTGATCCGTATCTTAGCAGTTGGTGCTATATCGGTGTGATAGGAATATTGTATTTCATTTTTTCTGCATTTTCTTTAGCTGAATAGTTATATCGTCCTAGAGGTTCTGAGGGCCATATTTCTTGCTACCTTGGAGTACCTTTAATAAGGCCAGTACTTAGAAATGTAGACAATTTTTAAAAAAAAAATCGTATTCATTTATTTATTTGGTACAGGGTCTTTTGCTACCCAGCCCAGACTCGTAGCGATTCTCCTGTCTCAGCTTCTCCCGCTCTGGGATTATAGCTGTGCACCACCATGCCCGATTTCGTTGACTGGCATGGTGTGCCTCGGGTTCCAGGGCTGGTGTGGCATGTGGTACTGGGGATCGAACCCGGGTCCTTGTGCTTGCCAGGTGAGTGCTTAGACTGCCAAGCTATCTCCCCAGCCCAAGATGTAGACAATTTAAAGAGTGAGAGGCAGCAAGGAATGTCAGTCACTTGATCCATTTAGCTCTTGTTTCCATGGGGTCCAAATTTCTTTTCTGAAAGTAGCTGACACTTGCCAGGATAGCCCTGATCAGCACAGGAAGTTCTTGCTTCTTACAACTGTGTGCATAAGCTGTGGAGCCAGTCTGACTGGACTTGAATTCTGCTTTGACACATTCTAACTGGAGTATGGGGAAGTAATTTAAATTGTTTGTTTCCCCATGTATAAAATTGAGATAGTACCTCATAAGGTCACACACATAAAATGCATATAACAGCGTTCCATTTTCTAGTGAATAACTGGATAATCATGACAGGTTTGATTATTTTACTGTTGATAGTTACACAGAAGTAGGACAGGACATCTAACACTTTGGTGAGATTTGGAAGTGGTGTGAAGAGACAAACATCAGAAAGTTTTGTGTAGAAGTACAGATTTTTTTTTTTTTTTTTTTTTTTTTTTTTTGGTGGAACTGGGAATTGAACTCAGGCCCTTGCCAGAGAAGCACTTATTCCACTGAGCCATCTCCCTGGCCCGAAGTACAGATTTTTTAAAACAAAAGCCAGTTGCTTTTACTTACTTGCTGGATAATATCTTTTATAGCTTATACATTGTTTTACTTCCTCAGAGGCAAGTACTGTTATTAGTTTGGGTTCTTTTTAAAACCTTCAAGGTTTTGAATATGTTTTAACTTTTGTTTCTTGACTTTTGTTTTAGGAATTGTGCTAATTTCCCACTTCCAAAACTAAAGATGCTATTATTTTTCCTATTGTTACATTCACAGCTGATGCTGATTCATTTCTTCACCTTTCAAATGCACTTTGCCAAAACCAAGTTAACATGCCAGTCTTGTGGATGCTAATAGAAGCATAACACTCAGGTCACACAGCAAAACTGGAGCAGTATCCAGCATACTAGCTCTGGCAAAAATTGTCATAGGGTAACAAAACATGGCTAGATGACAACTGCACATGCAAGAAGCGTATTATGGGAGATGAGCCCAAATCAGTAGTCAGCAAGACTGTATTCCTAAAAAAGAGACATTTTTATTATAAATATCCTGCCATTTACTCCAACAGGTGGTATCTCTGTCTTCCAAAGCTGTGCACCATGCAAGGTTGCATGAAAAGGAAGTCTAGAATGAAGGCCAGTCCGTGCCTCACAATATGCAGAAAATATTTGGGCGCTGTGGAGAACTGCCTCCCAACATACTTCTGAAATTATGGTTAGGTCAATGTTTAGTGTTCACAGAACTAGGACTGTGTAAGCACTATTCCCAGCTAAGTAAGATTAAACTATAATCATTTTATCCATTCCTAAACATTTTTATTATTGGTGGGTTTGATTTTTCATTTGCTTAGTTTTCTTTGTCAATAATTCAATCCTTAATGATTCCTTTTGTTTAAAAACTCATCAAGGGGCCAGGGAGATGGTTCAGTAGAATAAGTGCTTCTCTGGCAAGCACAAGGGCCTGAGTTCAATCCCCAATTCCGCCAAAAAAAAAAAAAAAACCCCAAAAAACAAAAACAAAAAACCCCATCAAACCTGTCAGGCATGGTGGACACACTTGTAATAGTATTCAGGAGGCTGAGGCATGATGATTAGTGGGAGTTTGAGGTCATCCTGGATTGCATACTGAGTTTAAGGCCAGTTTGCACTGCATAGTGAGAGCTTGTCAGGGAAAAACAAACAGCAAAACCCAAAACAACAAAGAAACAAACAAAAATCCTTTTTTTTTTTTCTTTTGTATTTAGGACAGGGTGTACAGGATCTCACTGCATAAATTAGACTCTTAGTGATCCTGTTTACAGCCTCCCAAGTGCTGGGATGATAGTCACGCACCACCATGTCCAGTCTCAATTGCTGTCTCGGGGATGAACTCCCAGCCCGAGTCTGCCTAAGCACAAATCCTATTAAGCCATCAGAGTCTATTGACTTCATACATCTGAAGGGGCCTCCTGGAGGCTCTGACCTGCTCTGGACTGGCTGTCCCTTTGTGCCTGGTGTGTAGCCTATCTCCTATGCTCACACTGCACCAACAACCTTGCAGGGTGTGGTGTACCAGGAATTGAACTTGGGACTTTGTGCTTGCCAGGAAAGTGCTGTGCTGCTGAGCTATATCTCTACCCTCCTTGGAGGATCTTTTGTTGGAACACAACTTCCAGAGTCTATGACAGTTTGTTTTTAAGACAAAGGATGTTGGTATGTAATGATAAAACGTGAGTTTTTGGTCTAAGTTTGGGTACTTACCTCTAAAAGGATCACCATCCCTGATCTATGAGAAAGGCCACAAGGAGGTAACTTTCAGGACTTTTTATGTGTTCAAATATCTTTAATCTTCCTTTCAGAAGACTGAAGATACTGCAATTTGCTTTCCCTTTGAGACAGGCTGTCCTTGAACTTGCTGTGTAGCTCAGACAGGCTTCAACCTCCTGCCTCAGCCTCCCCTGAGAGTGCTGATTATAGGTACGCAGCACCACACCCCACTTGCTATTGCCTTTTTATATCCAGCTGTAACTGTTGCAAAGCTTGAAGATATGTCAGATGCTTGAACAAAAAGGTTTTTTTTCTTCCCCTTTGGACCCTCGTGCATACCTTGCTGTATATATGAAAGATACTTGCTGCAACAATAATGCTGTGTAACAATTGACAGCAAAGCTCATTCCTTTATAAGCACTATTCCCTTGCTCATGAATTTGTGGGTAAGCTGTGCCTATGCTAGGCTCAGCTAGGTTGGGCACTTAGTCCAGCCCACTGCCTGCATCTAGTTCTCCGTGGTTCTCTTTCTTCTAGGACCATCATGCATGTCTGTTAATCTTCCATTCAAGAAAACAAGTCATGTGACCAGGTTCAGGAGCAATGGGATGACCCCATCACTCTAGTGAAAACACTGTACTACTTACTACATAACAGAAAGGATAGATGGATTGGGGACAATAACCAATCCATCTTATCAGTGTTCCTTTTTCATGCTGGGCATTTGCCCTTTTAATCTGCAAACTTTTTCAGGTTGAACGTATACTTTTTTTTTTAAAATTTATTTATTTGTGTGTGTGTGTGTGTGTGTGTGTGTGTGTGTGTGTGTATGTGGCCAGCTCAGCCCACTAGGGGCCGGGGCTGGCTGGCATGTGGTGCTGGGGGATTGAACCACGGTCCCTATGCTTTGCTAAACTTGTTCTAAGTAGGTGCTTTAGACCACTGAGCCATCTCTCCAGCCTCTCTGTTAATATTATTGATAATACTTTTGAAGCTTGTTGTATGCACTTTCCTGTTTTGGTCTTTTTTTTCTCCTTCCTCCTCTCCCTTTTCCTGCACTGGGGTTTCAACCCAGGCCCTCACAAATGCCAAGCAAATGCTGTGTCACAGAGCAAGACCTCCAGCTTTGTCTCTTTTATGAGACTTTCCTTAGGTATCCGATAATATTTGACTGTCTCTTCATATTTAGGAAACAAATGTGATTGGACACTGAGTGTGGGTTAGCAATGACTAATGGGCTTTCTGGAAGAGCCAGTTAAAGTTTGCAACATCATGCCACATCTTTTTAGATATTTTAAATGATCTCTTGGGGTGATTAAATTTCCCATAGAACATTCTACCAATTCTTACCAAGAAGATTAAATCCTTGTTATTAACCTGGAGACAGGTATGGTGGCGCATGCCTATAATCCTAGCACTTGGGAGGCTGAGTCAAGAGGATCGCTGTAAGTCCAAGGCCAGCCTGAACTGCACAGAAAGATACTGTCTCAACAAACCGAACATAACTGAACCGAACTGAACTGAATCAAACCAAACCAACAACAACAAAAACATTCTGGGATCTGGTTTGGGTTGTTAAATCTAAATGGGCATTACTAAAGCAAGCTCAGTAAAATCATTAACACATGATTTCAATTATATAGCATTGATTATAATACATCTTTTACTATAACATTTATATTTTAAACAGGGTCTCACTATATTACACTCACTATGTATTCCAGGCTGGCCTTGAACTCGCAGCAATCCTCTCATCCCTGTCTCCTTATTGCCGGGATTACAAGATGCACCACTGCACCTGGCTTCACTGTAAATGCTCTATTTCATTATCTTTGTTAACCACATTTCACAGGGCTCTGTGATGGCAATGGAGAGTAAAACCACTAACACCGATGTGCAAAGGAGTAATGATACTTGATAGGTTACTATAGGAGCAGAAGACTTTGTGGTGTGTTTAACTTTGAACTTTCCTTCTTTACAGATTAAGTATGCTGGAAGTCTTAATAAGCTTAACATAAGACCAGTGAGCTGAATCTTAGTGTATTTTAAAAAGAATAATGTTGACATATAATCTGTTAAGTTATATTTACTAAGCAAAAGTACATTATCTTTAAGGATAAATCTGTGTTTGATAATGTTGCAAATGACAACATGTAAGGCATCACATTTTCTATTAAAATTGGAAAAGCTATTAAAATTACAGTATACCACTCTTAACCTTTCTAGTATTACTTTAAACAAATAGATATTAAAGAGGCAAGCACCAAAAGCAATCAAGTCAGCAAAGCTGTCACTAGTAAAGCAAGTTAGAACTTGAGTCCTTTTGTTTAATCTTTATTACCCAAAGAGTTATACTAAGGAGTGAAGAATTCCTTCCAGCTACATTTCTGAGGATACAAATGTTACCTTAAGAGATAACCCTTGAGACCAGTTTTTGTAGGCATCTTATGCAAGTAAATTAAATTGAAATGGAATTGTACATTTGTTATTTTAATATCAAACTGAGGGATGGACTGAAGTCAACAGAGAAACAGAAAATCCAGGTTGTAGCTCGCTCTCTATATAGCAATAGTGTCATTCTAATTTTGATGCTTTACATTTTCATAAAGTGCAATTAACAAATAAATATGATCAAAAGAACTTTAAACATTTACAGAGACTAAGATAAATTACTGGTTATATTCCTTATAACCTTTTACCTCTGTGAAAGCTGTTATATTAAAACTCATTGACCCAGGTAAAATAATGATATTTATCCCCCTTACATCTGGCAGAGTAAATAATTGTGGACCTTATTCTATAACACAAGGTTAAACAGAAGGGACATTTATATGCTACAGACTAAATCCAGATACGGTCAGGTGCTGGGCATTATTTCTGGCTTCAAAATATGAAGTGTCTGTTTCATTATCTGGTTGGGGTATGAAAGGCATAGTTTGGTGCTGCAGATTTTCCCAGTCCACATCACTGAAGAGTGGGTGATGTTTCAGTTCTAGGAAAAATGTAAAGTGAAACAGCATATTATGATACCATTACCTCAGTACTGCTTTCAGGAATTACAAAGAAAATGTCTTACATATATCTCTCCCTATCTTAGTAGGCAGGCGCCTACTCAAGAACATTTGTTTTGCTTCTTGCTCACTGATACAACTTCCCTACTGCTCATCTTCCATGGCTAATTCTACAGTTCTCATTCTAGCACCTCAGTGACCTTTTTATATCACTACAGTCTTTTTTTTTTTATTTTGCAGAACTGGGGATTGAACTCAGGCCCTTGCGCTTGCCAGGGAAGCGCTTATTTCCACTAAGCCATCTCCCCAGCCCAGCACTAGTCTTTAGACTTATCTGTTGTCCTACGTAAGTTTAGCAGGAAGATGAGAAGACGTAGGCAGATGTTTAGCAGGAAGCTCATCCTTGATGCTTTTGCTTTTACTAGGCTTCATCCTCCCCCATGATGACATCTGCACATATATTGATCATGCTTTCTTTTATTGTTTTCACACATATACTATATCCTGACAGTATTTCTGGGGATCAAACTCATGGGTGCTGTACCACTGAGTTGCTCCTTAGCCTCTTTAATATATTTCCTTTTTCTCAGGCAGCATTTTGCTAATCTGCTCAGGCTGGCCCTGAGCCTGTGATCCTCTTGCCCTGCCTCTGCTAATAATGCTTTACTTTTTATTGTACTTCTAGGGTTAGTCCCTAGTATTATAAGAAAAAAGGTGAAGAAATTATAAAAGATTTTCATAGAACACATTTCTATATTTGTTATTTATTTTTTTAATGTATTTAGTACAGGGTCTACAGGGTCTTACTACACAGCTCGGAGTCATAGTGATCCTCCTGTTTTCAGCCTCCCAAGTGCTGGGATTATAGGCGCATGCACCATGTCTAGTCTCAGCGCGTCCTGGTAATGGGGCCAGCAAGGCACGTGGGGATTGAACCCCGGTCCCTGCATCTGCCTAAACAGGCGCTTTAATCTGCTGAGTTATCTGGCTAGCCCTGATGTTTAGTTTTATCAGGCTATGAATAATCTAGGATACTGACTAAAATAGTTTCTGGTTATGTCCTTGAGAGTAACAAAATTTAATTTCATGTATAAATATTACAACTTGCCTGCACTGAATTTTAATATGGAATGAACACAAATTAATGTATATCTAGAGGGCAGAAATAAATGGAGCTATCTTTTTATAATTTAGCAGTCAGATTATGTAACAATGTACCAAAACTTGATATTTTTATTACTAATAACCACATGGAACAAATCAAGGGTAAGAATTTATTAACATAAAACCTTACCTTTCATTCCAGCTCTCTTTGTATCATCAATGGTTAAAAGTATTTCTATTGCACTTTGAGCATTATCAGATAACTTTTCTTCACCTTCAGGCCAAGGTATGTCTACAAATACACAAGAATTTTTTAATCACTGTTTTTAACTACAGAGAAATACTGAATCTAGTTTATTAGGAGAAAAGCCATCACCTCTTTTCAAAATATTCTGGAATACTTGCTGTGGTGTTTCATCATTGAAAGGGGGAATTCCTGTTAGAAATTCAAATAAGCAAACTCCAAGTGCCCACCAGTCTACTGCAGGACCTGGATTTAAGAAGAAATAAGCTACATTTGCAAGTACTTTCTACAAATATTCGATCAGTTGAAACATTAGTACATGAACATTTGAACATAAGGCATTCATTACCTAAAGATTTTGGCTGTTTGCATAAATTATAGAAATGCTAAATTACCTTTACACAATGTGTTCATTATCTTCCTATTTATTTCCCAAGAAATTTAGCTTAGCAGTTACCACAGTTAGAAAGCAATGTCAAAACCATTTATTTCCAATTATTAATAACTTCTGGTATTCTGGATAATTTATGTGTTCTAAACCCTAAAACAATGAAAATACATTTAACATAATGAATATTTTTCTAAGATAAACTACTATATATGAAATGATTACATCCAGATGATTATTTCATATTCCACTTGTTTCATACAAGGTATGAGATGAAGTGGCAACATTAATACTAATTAGAAGCTAGCCTAATAATTAGGGGATGCCCTATTTTACAGAGCATTCAATTGTGGCTTTTATAAGAATACAGAAGAACAAATTAGTTAAATAAAAATATTCATTTAAACTGTGGCTGGAGGAGATAATTAGGAGATAAGTTTAGATGAATAGGTAAAACTGATTTCTAAATAACATCTTTATTGGAAGCAACAGCTATATACAAAGTGCTTTTGTTAAGATGAGGTCTTACAGTGTTGCCCAGGCTGGCTTCAAACTCCTGGGCTCAAGGCACTTCTCACCTCAGCCTCCTGAGTATCAGGAACCACAGGTATGTGCCTTACAACCAGCTATAAAAGATCTTTTAATAATCTTTTTGCTGAGGGAGGGTGAGTATTAGGGATTGAACCCAGGGCTTTTGCACTGAGCTACATCCCCAGCCTTTTAATTTTCAGATAGGGTCAAATTTGTGATCCTTCTCAGTCTCACAGAAAGCTGGGATTATAAGCATGTCCTGCCATATCCAGCTTTTTGAACAATTATAAACTGTTCTTTAATTTTTCTTTAATATATTTTTCTTTGTATTTTTTCTTTAATTTATATTTTTCTTTTATCTATAAAGCATTTCCTAGGCAAAGGTTAATTTTAGTTCACAATCAGTTAACTTCAATATAAATTTAGATTAAGAATTCTAGTGCAGTGTTAAATTTGCCAACAAATTTGCTTTTAAAAGCAGTTTCAGCCCAGCACTTGGCAGGGTGTGGCAGAAGGATCCTTGAGTTTGAGGCCAGCCTGGGCTACATAAAAAAGTTGAAGGCCAGCTTTAACTATATAGGGAGACCCTCCCTCAAAAAAAAAAAAAAAACAGACAATTTCACAAAATTCACAATAGTTAAGCAGTTGCCATCATCCCATTTTAAAAGAAGTAGCAATAGGAAAAAAGACTGCATGCATTTAGGTTGCTTTTTGCCTGCAAGCCACATAATCTCATTTTCCCTTTAAGGACCATAAGATGCTAAGAGTTGGTAGGTTTTCAGAGTTATTACTATAAAAATACACCAATCACCTCAGTTAGTAGATCTCTTAAGCAGCACTGAGAAAGAATTACTGTAATGGGTTAGATAATGTAGCCAAATAATAGGACACCAGGACAAACTCAGGAAATAATTTTTGTTTTACTCAAGTTAGAAATTAGAATCTTTCCCCTGCTCAGCCATATGTACTCATGTTAAAAACATACAGGATTTCCCCACATATATGTTGACATAAGTCAAAGTCTAATAAGATCACATACTATGATGTGTCTTAGCAATTATATTATTGGCTTGAGAAAAGGCAAACTTGCTCTATATTACTATCTTACAAATTTAAAATTCATTTTTGAAATTGGTAAGGAAATACTGATATTATTATACTCTTTTTTTTTTTCTTGTGGTAGTAGGGATTGAGCTCAGGGTTTGTACAATGAGTTATATCCCCAGCTCATATTTAGAGTGATAGGATTATAGGCATGTGCCACTATACCCTCCATATTTTCTAATGACAATGGAATTAAAGGATTTAGAAAATTCAAGCCTTTTTGCAATTGCTAATTGTAACATTTTTGCCAAGTATTCTGTTGTTATGAAAAGGTGTATCTTCATGCTATTTTTTTAAGCTTTAAAATGCTACATGTCTACATGTCTTTTCACAAAGAAAACAATCTCTGGAGTCTCACTGCTTAGAGTACAGAAGTCCATTTTTATAGTTCATAAATGAGATGAAAGGAAAAAAAAATTATCCCATGTGATCTGTTTATACTTTGACTATTTGGTTTAATGTGCTTTTTTCCATTTGACTTCATAGAGTTTACTTACCCGAAGTTAGAAATCCTGCATATAAGAAAATAATAGTTAGGTATAATACATAAAATTATGAATTCATTCCCTCATTACTAGGTAGAATACCAGATATGAAGGGATAGGAAGATGATTAAAGTATTTTACCCCCCAAATAGAAAACAGCCTATTCTGGGAGACACAAAACAGATAATTTTAATAGCGTTAAAAGAACTGAAACAAAAATATGATCAAGAAATTAAAAGAGGGGCTGGGGAGATGGCTCAGCAGAATAAGTGCTTGCCTGGCAAGTGCAAGGGCCTGAGTTCAATCCCCAGTTCCACAAAAAAAAAGAAAAAAAAAAAAAAAAATCTCAGCATGGCTGAGAGTTGAGACTATACAGGTCACCCAAGAGGCTGTCAATGAGGCTACAGCATGTGGTTTAGTTGCAGTAGCTATGTCCCACTGAAACAGGTAAGATTCTTATATTGTATCCTATGTTAAGGTAATGCTAATCATAACAGAGTAGGCTGGCAAGTCTTTGACTTAATCAAAGGGAAACTACAAAAACCTGTAAGAGCTCATCAGCATTTACTTGCTTTGGCTAATAAAGAAAAGGAATATTAAACATGTCTATTTTCAGTATTATCAAGATGAATAGCAACAAGTGCTTCCAAGAAATTCTGGCATGTTATATAGAAGGCAGAAGACTCACATTCTCTACTTAAGGAATTTTCTCAAGCTTTTGTAGTAGAAAAAAATTATCACAACTAATTGCAACACAGAATAACTTTTTTGGCTGTTTTTGTAGTGCAGGGATCAAACTCAGGGCCTTGTGTGTACTACACAAGTGCTGTAACACTGAGTTGTACTGAAGCCCTTGGGAGGACCTGAGCTTCAAACAGCTTTAAAAAGGTGGTGTAAAGCTGGGCAAGCTGGTGCACACCTGGAATCCCAGCACCTGGGATTTTGCTGAGGCAAAAGGATCTTTGCATGTTTGAGAGTAGCCTGGACTATAAAGAGAGCTCAAGGCCAGCCTAAATTGCATGTTGAGACCCTGTCTCAAAAATACAAAAGACAAAAAAGAACTCCCCAAAACCAACAACAACAACAAAAACCCCCAAAACCCAAAAACATAGGTGGTGTGTTTGATTAAAGGAGCTTCACTGCCAGGGAAATGGCTCAGTTGAATAAGCGCTTGCTTGGCAAGCGCAAGCACCTGAGTTCAATCCCCAGTTCCACCAAAAACAAAACAAAAAACAAAACAACTAACTAAATTTTAAAAAAGCGCTTCACTGAAGATTTGATACTGGACTGATGATGAAAAGAAATTTGATTGAAAGATTATGAGACTGGCTTTTCTCAACATAAAGTACATGTACAAAACAAGACTGAGATATTACAATACATTTTATTAAGAAACAGAATAGGAACTGGACATGGTGGCACATCTTTGTAAGTAAAGCCTTGTACTCTGGGAGGCTCAGACTGGAAGATCACAAGTTTAAGCTCAGCCTGGGCAATTTAGCAAGACCCTGCCTCAAAACAAAAAATAAAGGTAAGGACTTAGATCAATGTGAAGACCCTGAATTCAATCCTTAGTATCTTTTTTTTTTTAAAAGAACATAGGGCATACAACAATTTAGATTTGTTGAAAGCTGAGACTAATTTGAGAACTAAGAGCCGCAAATGTCATGACCAATAATTAGGATTTTATTTAGCAGCTCAGAGGGGGGACACTATAGTCTTTTGAGGATAGAAACAAATTGTATTTTGGCTCAGAAAGAAAATCTGTTGGCAACCATGGTAGACAACAATAAAATTGAGATTAGATAGAAGGCCATTAAATGATGAAAGAGAAAGACAAATTTCTTATAGAGAATATAGCATAGGTGAAAAAATACAGCAGGGATTTAAGTAACTAGATTTAAATGTCTGAATGTTAGGGATGATGCCAGTCATCATAAACATGATGAAAGTTACTGAACAAAACAAAGCAAGCTACATAAGAAGCCCATTTTTTACTTGAAATATTTGGCAGATTGGTAGAATACTAAGTAGGCAGTTTAGATGTATGTTTGTTGTCCAGAGAAAGTCAGGATTAGAGATGGATCTGGGAATCATCATGGGAATGATGTATGATTAACAGGGAATATGTGTAGGAAATAATAGCATAGAGCAGAATCTAGAAGAACTTTGTAGTCCTCTGTATTTACTGTTACATATCCACAAATTCAACCAAACATGGATAGAAAATATTTGAAAAATCACTGGTTTTGAACATCTACATCCTCTTACTATTGTTCCCTAAATGATATAACAACTACTTAAATAGTATTTACATTGCATTCGGTGTTTTAAGTACTGCAGAGGTGATTGGTATATGGGAAGTATATGGGAGGCTATGTATAGTTTACACGCAAATACTGTCCCATTTTATATAAGGGACCTGGGCATCTGGAGAGTTTGGTATTCTCGGGTATCAAACTCCCACTGAGAAAAAGGAGAACTATACTTGGGAATAATTATTATTAATATTTTTTGGCTGGCTCAAGCTGCCTTAAGGCAGGGCTGGTAATGCAGGTGGACATGGGGATTGAATCAAGGTGTCCTGTGCCTGACTGCATTTGCATGAGCAGGCGCTTAAACAACTGAACTAACCAGCAGGTCCCCGAGAACTACACTTGGAAGAGAGAAAGAAGCAACTAAAGAATGTCCACAGAGGTAAGAGGAATGAGACTGAGGAGAAACTGTGAGATCTGACTATAGGGACTCTGGTGACAGGAAGGTTTTGTTAACTCCTTGATATAAAATTATATTGCGAGAACAAAAATAGTCAAGTAAAGAAAAGAGGCAAGCTTTGAGCAGTTAGGCAGCAAAGGGAAGACAAAAACTTGCCTAAAGGCTGGAGATAAAAACCGGAAAGAAATAAAAATAGAAGAGGTGTAGCAGTTGGAATGGGGAGGATGAAACAGATGATCACCAAGGAACCTAAAGGAAAAAAGAAAGTAATCAAGATGTAGGAGGTGGGCACCAAGGCACATACCTATGGTCTTGCCTACTCAGGAGGCTGAAGCAGGAGTGTTACAAGTTTGACACCAGTCAGAGCATCTGAGACTCAGTTTCCAAAAATAATAAAAGTATTGGGCTGTATCTCAGTTGTTCCTGGGTTCAGTCGCCAGTATTGCAACAAAAAATGTAGAAGGAATTCATGTTATGAGTTGATTTGTGCCCCTCAAAAAAGCTTATTTAAAACATAAGACTCAGTACCTCAGAATATGATCTTATTTGGAAACAGGGTCATTGCAGATTCAATTAACTAGGTTAAGATGAGGTTATAATGGATTAGGGAAGGCTCCTACTTAACATAACTTATATCCTTAAAAAAGTCACACCATGACATGGGGCTGGTGAGATGGCTCAGTGGTCTAAAGCACCTACTTAGAACAAGCTTAGCAAAGCACAGGGACAGCGGTTCAATCCCTCAGCACCACATGCCAGCCAGCCCCGCCCCCTGGTGGGCTGAGCTGGCCACACACACACACACACACACACACACGTAAATAAATAAAAATATTTTTAAAAGTCACACCATGACAGAGACACAGGGAAAAACAATACGAAAAGGCAAAATTGAAATGATGCATCTGCAAGGCAAAGCGGCCAGCAAACCATGAAGGAATAGGAGTGATAAAGGAAGCACACCTTGGTTTTGCACTTCTAGCTTCCACAGTCCCAACACATTGTTTTTGCACTGAGCTACTCAGTTGTGGTAACTGCTAAATCAAGACTAGAGAATAAAGTTTACTTAATATAGGAAAACTTTTAAGACAGAGAAAGGAAAAGAAGGTGGATGTACCATTTTGAAGGCTGATTCATTTCCGGTTTGGCTATCTTGGTGAGCATATATAAGTGTGGGTCACTTATAAATTGGAATAGGATTCTGCAGATTGAACAGAAGTGTAAGTCTCACATTGCAGTCATGAGCATTATAGACCAGACGTGAAGAAATGTTTAGAACAAAGATGACAAAGTGGGTGGGGGGTGGATCACTGTGACTGAACCAAAGAAAGCAAAACCACTGAAGGTAAAACATAAATGGCCTTATAGCCTTCAGTATTTGGTTTTACATATGCAGAGAATAGCTATTTCTTTTTTCTTTTCTCACAATAAATGCCAAATAGATGAGAAAAGAGTATTTTGTGAGCCTATTTTCTCCAGAACCAGGGATTGAACTCAGGCCCCTGTGCTTCCTAGGCAAGCACTTATTCCACTGAGCCATCTCCCCAGCCACCCATTTTCTCATACTTTAGATAATCTAACTACCAAAGAAACTCAAAACAATTTTGCCTTAAAAGACAATACACTGGGGCTGGTGAGATGGCTCAGTGGTCTAAAGCACCTACTTAGAACAAGCTAAGCTAAGCACAGGGACCGCAGTTCAATCCCCCAGCACCACATGCCAGCCAGCCCAGCCCCCTGGTGGGCTGAGCTGGCCACACACACACACACACACATACACTAAATAAATAAATAAATATTTTAAAAAAAGAATACACTGATAGCAGTTCAAAGTCTGAGACATGCATTGCTTACCATGGGCTGTGCTCAATAACAGCTCAGGTGCCAGGTAGTCTGGGGTTCCTAGAATTCGCCCATCATCTACTGGAGCTGCCCCTCTTCTCACACTCTTTGGAGTTCGGTATGAAGTTCCACATTTGATCTGTTTTGGGGTCTGCTAATTCAAAGAGTTTAAGTGACAGCAAATATTCTCATTTCTTTTACAAGGAAAAGATATTGCTAGATCATGGGCTGTTAGGCATAAAAGATAGACTGTACTTAAATTATTAATCCAGGATTTGAAAATGGACTCATAACTAGTTATAATTATCAAAAAGTCCTTATATGTAGAAGTTCATTTGCTTAATTATTTCACTAAGACCTGGAATACATTATTACGAGAAAATACACAAAAATTTCTTGATAGCATGTCTTAATACAACTGAAGAATAATTGCTGACAAAGGATTTTGCTGACAAATAACAAATTAGCACAGTATACAAGGTAATATAAATAATCTCTTGTATGAAATGAGATTTAAGGTGTTTTAAGGTAACTTGTCTAACAATACCATTTTATCCCCTCAGACATTTAAAGAAACCAGGCTCTGATGTGAAGGGGCTTTTAAGTTCTGGTTAGAAAATTCAAGTCTCAAAAATAAACCTCCCTTAAAAAACAATTCAAAAAAGAAAAAGAAAAGAAAAGAAAATTCAAGTCTTATCACAAAACCCAAGTCTCATAATCCAAGTTCAGAGTTTACATATTTTGTATTATGATATTTCTGCAAAGAAAGAAAAAAAATTTTTTTGGTTTATAAATGAAATGGAGTAACAAAATAATATTTGAAAAATCTATTTCAACTTTTTTCTTTGAAGAAGAGATTATCCAAATATGTCCTTGGAAAACATTAAAGGACAGACTTTAATTTGATATCACATAGTATTGCTGTGAAAATATGTGATTGGATTTTCTTAGGAAGGTATACAGAGCAATACAAATAAGACACAGTTAGGAAGCTAAATAAACATGAAAACTTCCAATAATCCATAGTCTCATGAACAAAATCACATAATTAATACTATAAAATTTAGCTGAGACAAATGTGTTGTTTGCCTGTCCTCCCCTAAATACTCACTTGGGATTGAACCTAGGACCTTCACACTGAGTGACAATCTCCTGCTTTTTTTTGAGATGGTGTCTTTCAGTCACTCAGTTCCCCAGGCTGCACTTGAACTCATGGTCCTCCTATCTCAACCTGTCACAGTTCTGGGATCACAGGTGTATGGTATCACACCAGCCAAGTGTCTGTTCTAATACTTTATTTTTCTACATCCAAAAAACAAGTGTTTTTTTTTTTTTTTTTCTCCTGTATTTTAGGGATGGGAAAAAAAACAAGTGTTAAAAACAAAGACTATACCTGATATGGCACAGAGGATCTTTCTTTCTGAGGAGTTATGGCCATGGGATATGAGCCACTGTATGCACATGAAATATCCATTGTATCTAAAGAAGTAATGCTCATTTTGGATGGTTCTGAGTTATTGGATATATTAATATGACTATTAAAACTTCGAAAAGCTACAGCATTTCTTTTACAGAGAGCTAACGCTTTCAAGGCCTCTGAAGAAGGAGCTAACATTTTTTGGTTGCTATCTTGGACAGCAGGGTGCTCATCATCTTTTGGCAAGGTATTCTCTTGGAAGTTTGGTGATACAGTTAGGAGATCTTCAATATTTGAGTCTTCAAAAGAAGATTCTTTGATGCTTTTAACTGCATCTAAGGGCTGCCTTTCTAATGAACTTTCCATGACAGAAATTCCAGGAAAAGAAGAATCTGAGTCCATACATATGCTTCTGGGTGCTCTATCATCATCACAACATAAAAAATTAGAATCCATGTGTTCCTTCTTATCAGTCTTTTCACAGTCTTCATCTAGGTCACACATAAGGTTTTTTGCTATTGTTGGTGCAGATAAATTTTCTGGTGTTTGTTTATCAGTAAAATAACAGGTGATGTTCTCCTTATTAGCACAGTCATTTTGCTGACACCTATACACCGATAACTTAAGACCATGGACTTCAGCTGTTAAGCCTGTACTCTGATTTGTATGACAACCTCGAAGCTTTTTATCATGCTCATTCTCTACACAATTTTTTTTATGTTGTATAATTTCTTTACAGGGACTAGAGTCAACCAATTCAAAATTTCTTTTTAAACTTTTCCCAAGAGGCTCTTCAGGTATATCACTAGAATTCAGAGCCCACTGATGTGACTGCTGGGAATCAGACTGTCCTGTGTCAGGGGCCTTGTTCACGTTATTTACATCAAGTGCTCTTGCTTCCCAAGAAGCCTCTCCAGAGAAGCATTTTTTAGCAAGGGTTACACAAGATCCTCCAGTGGTAGGAATGGCATTGCTGTTATGAATTGGAGAAAGGGCCAACTCAAGACCCTTTTTATGGAAACTTTTGGTCTTGATGTCATTTGCAGATTTTGTACATAACTTTTCCACTGCATTCCAACTCATCATTGTAGAGCCCAATGCCTCATCACTTTCCTAAGAGGAGAAAAAAATATTTATTAGTTCATATAAAGTTGAGATTCAAGGGGCTAGCAAGATAGCTCAGTGGTCTAAAGTGCCTATTTAGGCAAGCTTAGGCAAAGCTCAGGGACCGAGGTTTGATCCCCTGGCACCCCAGGGTGGGCTGAGCTGGCCACAGAAAAGAAAAAAAAAAGGGTTTAATCAACACTTGAAATCATAATATCAATAAAAACTATTAAATTAAAAAAAAAGTTGAGAGTCCAGCCAGGGATATAGCTTGGCACAGCACCTGCCTGGCAAGCGCGAGGTCATGAATTTGATTCCAGGTACCAAAAAAAAAAAAAAAAGGTTGAAAATCTTTGAGATTCTAACTTTTGTCTACATAGGTAGGATAAATAACCCCATAAATTGCTATTCTTCTTATTCCCACTTTCAAATGGAACAAAACAACAATGATAATAGGGAATTAAAAAAACAATATAAACAATTAAAATCTTAGATTCTTCTGAATGAAACACTGGTCTAAAATTTAAACTAGTTATCCACAAATACTTATTTTTATATATGAGTAAATGGGGCAAATTAACAAATAATATATTTAGGCAGGTTTAGGTTACAGCTACATTATACACATATAACACAAGATTCAATGTATTTGTTTTGAATTGTAGAAAGCAGAGGGGATGAAATCTAGTTAAAAAAGTTATAGCCAAAATTAACAGGAATTAAAGTTCATTTTCAACACAAATAACACTGATACATTGATAAAATGTTTTTCCTGAAAATTGAAAACGAACTTTTTGTGGGTGCTCACATGCTCATACATACTTACACATTGCAAGTTGGTACAGGGTGACCAGAATTTGTTTATAATTATTCAATTAAAGTCAGTCTTGAGTAACTAAAAGTACCTATTTTTGATGTACAAGTATCAAACTTTAAAATCTTATTTATTTTTGGTCCTGGGAATAAAACAGGACCTTGTGCTTTCCAGGCAGGCACTGTCCCGCTGAGCTATATCCCTGGCCCCTTAAAAATCACAAAAACCAAAAAATTGTCCTGAATTACATCTCACTGGTTTGCAAATACCAAAAATAATGTATTTGAGGAGCAGGACAAGGTTAGCTGAGAGTCTCTCATGGTACACTATCATTTTTCTGATTATAACTTGGGAAGCTGTATTATAAGTTGATTACTAAATTCCTCAGAGTGGCAGAAATGGAAGAAGGTAAGGCTGTGTGTAGTTTAGAATAGTATATAATATGCTTTCTAGAATATAAGAAGTAACATAACACCCATATTACATCACCTTCACTACTTAAAAGCTATTCCTGAAGAGTTACTAGTCTATTAGGTGAAAAACTAAGGCTGGCCAGATAGCTCAGCGGATTAAAGCACCTGCTTATGCAGACGCAGAGACTGGGATTCGATGCCCAGAGTGTGCCAACCCCGCTCATGGGGTGTGCTAAGAGGGTGATTGAGACTGGGCATGGTGGCACGCACCTGTAATTCTGGCATTTGGGAGGCTGAAAATAGGAGAATCACTATGAGTCTGATCTACATAGTGAGACTCTGTAGAGCCTGTACTAAATACATTAAAAAAAAAAAAAGAAAGGCAGAAAAAGAAAAACTGATGGAAAACATCATAAAAAGAGGTACGGGTAAAAACTAATGCTAATAACTGCCATGGAAGAGAATTACAGTCAAATTTTATCATTTACTATAGTAGCTTAATCATTACATATCAAGGAAGAGAAATTTCACAACTGAATGAGAAATGAAATTGTTAAAAATTTGACAGCATCTCTGGGAAAAAAAGAATCTTTGATATTACCCTGGCTGCTATTCAGGTCACAATTTGATTTCCTTATGGGATTTACATTAAAAGGTATAGTGTTTTTGTCATGAATTTGAAATACATAATTGGTTTGGTTAAAATAAATGTCCTTCTAACCTGACAATCCTTTTCCCATTTGGGGCTGCTGTGGCATTCTGACTCCATGCTGGACACAAAAGTGTGGGACTGACTACTGGCACTAGAGGTGGCCAACCTTTTCCTAGACTGCAGTAGATTAGAAGTTAGACTTTTCATGGGCATTCCTGGGTTGGAAGCAAGAGTTTCAAGACCTGTAGGGGGAAGAAAATATTAAAGCTTATATCATATTTTTGTAGTTCTTTACTGAACCTGAATATTTGCAGATTATTTATCATATTTCAGAAGTATTTCTTTGTAAATACAGTCCTTCACAATATGGCTGCAAGAATTTCTGCTACTTTGCCGGGGAGATGGCTCAGTAGAATAAGTGCTTGCCTGGCAAGCACAAGATCCTGAGTTCAAACCCTGGTACCACAAAAAAAAAAAAAAAAAAAAAAAAAAAGAATTTCTGCTATTATTCTCATTAGATTTAGACTTATATATTTTTTTTCAGAAGGGCTTTTTTTTAAACAATGTAAATATTGCTTTAAAGTTTAGAGCAAAAAAATTCTTTTTTTTTTTTTTTAATTCTTTTAACAGTTTTAGAATAAAAACCAGCACAAGAGAATTTTTTATATGGTAATTAGAATCACTTTGGCATTTTTTAAATCCAATATGAAACTATTCTTGATAAAAGAGAATTACTGATATACTATACCCAGATGTGCAATAAGGATAGAATGGGGCCTGGAATGTAACTCAGTGGCACAGCACCTGCCTGGTAAACATAAGGACCTGACTTCAACTCCCAGTACCAAAAAAAAGAAAAAAAAAATATGGTTAGAATATAACTAAATTTACTCAATTCAATCTGTTTCTAATTAAAATTATATTTTATTGTAATGCAGCAATTTATATGCTCATGGAAATGGATCATAGACATCCAGAGTGACCTACTTTCCCTCCCATTCTCTTCTTTCTTTTTTTTCATGCTGAGGATCAAACTTGGAGCCTTCAGCATGCTAGGCTAGTGATCTACCATTGATACCCATGCCATTCCCCACATAAAGGATTCTTGTAATGTAATGGGATAAAGCAAATAAATAATCATACAGTGGCTAACAATGATACTCCTTTATCATACATGCAAATTACTAAAAATGGTTGTTCATCATCTTATAAGTAGGCATAAGACAACTATGTCCTTTGTGTTTGGTGGTATTAGGAACAGAATTGAGGTAGTGCTGAGCTACATCCCTAGTTCCTTTCAATTTTTTAAATTCTCAGATAAGACTCCTAAGTTGCCCAAATGAACTGTGAAATTGCTGACCTCTTGTCTCAATCTTTTGCCATCACACATGGCCAACAATTGTGCTACTGCTAAAGATACAGTAATAATATATGTATGTCAAGATTTTACACATAGATGAAAGGATTCAGATGTCTTGCTTTCTTTTCCTTAAAGATTGAACATGACCTCAATCTCAAGGAACTGTTTTTCTTTTTTGAGTAGGAAAAATTATTGTAAGTATTCATATATTCTTATTTATTTGCAAATATCAGCATTCTCAGTAAGACTTGAAAATATTTTTCAACAAGTCCTTGAAAAACCTCCCAAGTGTCCTTGGTGAACTTGATATTCTTCTGGCCAAAGTTGAGACCACAGAAGCAATCTCAAGGAAATTCTAAGTCTTACAGATTTTTGACCTGGTAAGTAAGTCTTAGAACTTTAAAGTTGAAAGGAGTGTTTCTTTTTTTTTTTCTTTCTTTTTTTTTTTAGGGTTAGGGTTAGGGTTGAAAGGAATGTTTCAAGGCCCATGTAATCCAACTTTCTTTTCATTGTTCAAATCCTCTCAGTGTAATTCTGGCAACTCACTGGACACTGACTCTGATGTATAGGCGTGAACTGTTTAGCTGCCTTCTGTCAGTAACAGGGAAACTTAACGTTTAATCAAATGTTGTGTACATATTGCATATTTGCTAATGAGTTATTCCTTAAAGATTATTTGTGATCAAACCATTTTCTATGTTGGAACTTTTGATAGCTCCAAGTTTTCTATATATCTCTGTAATGACATCTGCTCCTTCCCAATATACTTTACTGAACTTCCTTTCCTATTGTATATACTTCTCATTCTCACACAGTACACTCACTCCCTACTGTCTGGAGGTGCACTAGCTCCATGCTGTTGGATATGCTAGTGTCTCTTTGCTAAACTGAAGCTATAAGTTCTTGCTTGTCTTTCTGGATGCAGTTTGGCCATCATAGAACCATCCTACTCCTCCACGTCAGATTCATTTCAAAGGATTGCTTATACTGTGCTAATCTCCTCTATACCTTCCTATGTCTTTTACTGAATGCAAAAATATCTATGAGTTTTTAAATTTAAGCTACCACAAAAACTTTTGGAAATAATTATACAGACATCCATAACACTGCAGGTACTTGTTTATATTCTCTAAGATTTCCACAGACACAATATAGGGAAATTAAACTAATGATCATTTAAATTTTCTAGGTTATCACATTAGCTAGACCTTTTTTTCTATTGATTTGCAAATCTGCCACCACTTTGGTGAGAAATGGCATTTACATAATGAAATATAGGAATGTCACAGATGGTTGAAGTATTTGCATTTTGAAAATATTATATTGACATTAGACATTTTAACATTTGAGAGGTTGGGGAGATAGGTCAGTGGAATAAACATCTGCCTGACAAGCGCAAGGGCCTGAGTTCAATCCCTAGCTCCACAAAAAAAAAAAAAAAAGAAAAAAGAAAAAAGAAAAAGAAAAATAATTTTTTCCTAAGAAACATACTTAGTGTAATAAACTACTTTTTTGTACTCACATGATTTTAGTAGTTTGCTAGAATAAGGTGTCTCCTTTTGATCTATAGACATGGGACAAATTAATCCTTTAGAAAGCGGTGATGTTTCTGATAGGTGGGTTGAAAGGATGTCTGCAGAGTCTTGATTTTTTTCTGCAACTGGTGTGAACTATTAGTGTGAGAAAAAAAGAAACACTAAGATTTAGCATTCTTCACAAAAATACCACCTAAGTTTACACAGGCCATTGTGCCATTGAGACTGACAAAGTGTCAATGAAATTTAACCTCATGCTTGTTACTTACATCTATTTTTATTTTTTTAAAGGGGACTATAAATTTGAAGGGATGACTATGAAAGGGTATATCATGTGAGTTTTCATAACAAGAACTTACAAATCCTAAAGAACTGATGAGCGATAATACTTGTCCTGGGGTTCTTGAATAATCTTGCTTAGGCTTCGCCATCGATGGTGTTGTAAGGATATCCATCATATTGATATCTGTGCATGCAAAGGAAAACGTATGAATTTTAAAAAAATCTGTCAGTAAACTTTCAGTTGTCACTAAGTCAATAATTGTGTATTCTGCACTTTGACCCTCTCTCTATGTTATTAACCTTACCTGTAGAAGGTAAAGAAGTTAACCTTACCTGCAAAAGGCTTGTGTAGGATAAATATATGCAGGAAATCTATCATGCCATAGAGGAAACATTTGCAACCATTTCAAATCATTAAAAGTTTGATAGAACACAATCTTATTCTGAGTAGAACACAGTAAAATGATCCAGGATCTTAATATATTTTTAGGGGCTACTCAGTCACTAAAAATAAGTGTTTTCCAACTAGCAAGAAAATAATTTTGGTAAATCAATTACTGAAACACAGTTGGTATGGAATAATACAAGTCTGTCCCCTCATGTTAACATGTTTAAGTCTGAATTAATATAAAAGTTGATCCACACTATTAGTATGTTTCAATATATAATATTTTAAAATAATTCAATACTAACACATACTATTACACTATTTTACTTAGATACAAAAATAGCAAGAGAAGCTTAATGGTCTGTATGCAGTACAGGACTTTAAAAAAGTATAAGGTTTGAATGTAACAAACCTCATTTATATCTCATATCAATGGAGCAATAAGAATAAAGTGATAATAATTTTAAAGGATATTTTACAACTAAAACTAAAAATCAGGCCTTTATAATACAGTTAGTTAAATTCATCAGTAGGGTCATCTTAATATAAAATTTTCTCAATTTGTAATATTTGCCACATTCAAGAAAACAAATATGGTAAACATACGGAATGTTAGAGACTATCCCTAATGACATCTTCTATAGTATCAGCAATCAAGTACTGTTTCTGTAGCAAATGTATAGTCACATGAAGTGAGATGAAGAAAGACTCCAAGTAGCCCTATATTAGCTCAGGTCAGATTTGAAAATTTTTAGGTATTTACAACTGTTCAAATCTTGTACTTCTAAATAAAGAATCACAGATCTACATATATTTCCTTTTTAAATCTCTTATTTATTTGGTACAAGGTCTTGCTCTGTAGCTTGGACTCGTAATGATCCTCTCTCCTGTCTCAGCCTGCCTCAGCTCTGGGTTTATAGGTCTGTGCCACCATGCCCAGTTTCAGTGGCTGGCTCAGCACATCTAGGGTTCCAGGCCAGGGA